ATATTTTATAGAACAAAGTAAAAATTTTAGTTAATTATAACTTTATATGCCTTACACACACACACACACACACACACACACACATATGTCGAGGGTATATATTTATATATGAGTTGTGTAAATCACTAGTGTATAGTTATTGTTTTATTATTAAATAATACATGTACTTCCACCAGTACAAATATTCCTAGTTCATCAAGTCTTTAAACTGAATTTCCAACAAATTGCTATTTCCTAATAAACACTTGGTGCTAGAGACACAGCTCAGCAGCTAAGAGTATTTCCTGCTTCAGAGGACCCAGGTTTGTTTCTAAACACCCATGTGGTAGCTCACAACTGTCCATAACCCATCCCAGGGAATCCTGGCCCCCAGGGGTACCAGGCACACGTGGTACAGGTACTTAGATGCACACAAAACACTCGTCTCATGAAAGTAAATGTATCCTTCTTTAAGTTATGCTTTAAGGCTCAACTACAGTGCAGTGCACAGAGCTTTCCTGGCAGGCATGTGCGCCTGGGTTAGATCCTCACTACAGAAAGTGGCAGAGGCCTAAGGAGAAGAGAGAAAAAAGAGAAAATGCTTAAAGTCAGGTATGATGGGTGGTACATACCTATAATCCCAGCACTTAGGAGGGAGACTGAGCCACAAGGAAGGTTGCAAGTTTTGAGGTTAGCCTGGGCTACACAGTGAGCACCATACACCATCCAGGGCTACATAGCAAGACCCTGTCTCAAACTGTTTTCATTTTAATGCTATAGTCACAAAACCAAGAGTGTAGTTCTGTGGTAGATAGAACCCTTGCCTGGCATTCTCAGGGTCCCAGACTCAATTCCCAGTACCACAAAAGAAAAAAGTGGAGGGAGGGGTAGGAAGGAGAGGGGAAGGGAGGGGAGAGGAGGGGAGAGGAGAAGCAAAGAGAAGAGAAAAAAAGAAAAATGAAAAAAAAAACAGTTTCATATTACATGGATAAACAAGAATTTCTATCAGCTAACAATAGATTCAAACAAGAAGTAAACAGACATTTCAAAATGAGATTTTAGCTTTAAATTTATCTTTGAAGATACCATTTATGTTATCAATTTTATCCTAATAAATATAATGAGTCTTTGTCTTTCACAGTGAAGTGAAAGTAATTGGTGACCAGAAATCTTCCTGATAAATTGAAGTTTTCCTGATAAAGTAAAATTTAGAAAACTACTATCAAAAAAGTCAATATTTCATAAAACTGTCATAATTTGCAATTTTATTAAAAATTTGGAAACAAGTTTTGCTGATAGTTTACCTTAAGACTTATTTTTGATTCCCTTGATGTTCTTTGGGGTTACTAACAACTGGATTCGTGTATTGTGATCTGAACTGAATGACATTAGCCTGTAACAAATTAGCATGTTACAAATTAGTGCACCCCTAACACCCATGTGGCTACATCTGAAGACAGGGTCTCTAAAGAGATAATTAATATTAAACAAGGTCATACTGTTGGTTTCTTTGCTAATCAACTGGGGCCCTTATAACAAGTGGAAGAGATGGGAGGAATGTGGAGTTAAAAGCACTTGTGGTGGCCTTCAAGGCGGGGAAGAGCGAGCAACAACAGGCAAGCTTGTTGGCACCTTTCTCCCAATCCTCCAGTCTCCTAGATGCCCATGGCACAGGATACTAATTCACCCAAAACATTTTTTTAAAAGGTACTTTTGCCTTTTCCTTCCCTACACCTGCCCCCACCACAGCTCTATAGTGTGCAGTCTTCACTCACTGAGATCCTGTATAATTCTGGTTTTTCTCTCAATTTCATCATTATTGTAGCCATACTTGCACACTAATGTAGGGCGGTTTTATTATTCTTTAATAAAATAGATTTTCTGTGGATCAGAGTTTGGTAAGTTATAAATCCCTTTGTCCTCCTTAGCTGTGTTTCTGAATTAGTCAGCTTGGGCTGCCACAAAAAGTTGTAGACTCAGTGGCTTAAATAGTGGCCTTTATTGTCTCACAGAGCTGGAGGCTGGAGTCCCACATCAAGGCACCAGCCAATTCAGCTTCTTACGAGGATTCTCTTTCTGGCTTGCAAATGACTATCTTGTCCTCGTATGGCCTTTCCTTGGTGACGGTGTGATGAGAACAAGCTTTCTTTGCTCTTATGGTGACACTCGATTCAACAGTTCAGAACTCTGCCTTTACAGCCTCAATCAACCTTCAGTATTTATCGAGGCCCCCATCTCAAAACACGACCCACACTTCGTAAGAGGTTTAACTTCCACTGTTTAGGGAACATAAGCATTGTCTCTATGCATAGCAACGCACCTTTATAGTTAAGAGTTCCCAAACTACCGAAAAGAAGCAACAAAGCCCACTAAGTATACAAACGTCCTGATAAAATGCTGCTACTTCCATCTCAAACCTCCTACCTCAGTCTTCCAAGCGCGGAGATTACAGGCATGTTCGATCATGTCTATTATTTTTTTAATGATTCATTTCATTAATAAGTCAATGACAAATGGCCCTCTTTTTCTTTTTTCTTTTCTTTTCTTTAAAAACAGGGTCTATGTGGCCTTGGCCAGTCTGGAACTCACTATGCAGACCAGGCTGATCTCAAACTGATAGAAATCTACCTGCCTCTGCTGGGATTAAAGGTGTGTGCCACCATGCCCAGCACAGACAGCACTAATGAAATGTTTCTCTTACTTGGTTAAGAGAAAACCAAATCTGAACTACAGGAATGATCCTATGCAAAGGGGCAGAGGCTGTATATGCCCAAAGGACTGGCCACAATACTACAAAAACAGGGTCCTTGATCACCCCCAATCTGGCAAGTAATGTAGGAACAGAATGAGTGTTACTGAGTGGTCTTTTTCTTTTGATTTAGCTTACATATGACCACACGGAAATCTCATGTGGGTTCTGCTTTATTACATTTTTTTTTACCACAGTGCATCTAAAAGACAGGTGTCTTAAGGGGGTCGCTAAATTAGCATTCACAACTGAAGTCTACTCCCGAGCCGTTAGACTGGAGAAGTCTTTCTTTCTTCTATCAACATGATTCTATCAATAAAGGCCACAAAGCTAAGTGAGTAGGAGGCATTTACTTTTTTAATTACCGTGGTTTCCCTAATCTATCCCTTTTACCCCTTCAACTTGGCCGCCAGATTAATCTTCACAGAACTCCATGACTCCACTAATGAAAATGATTCCCTTGGCCTAAAAATCAAAGTACAAACTGCTATATTTAACATTCAAGCAAGCCTCCAAATCCTAAGGCATTAGCCTCCGAGGGTTCAACCGCTAATGGAGCAAACATCACTTTCTAAGTGTCTGTATTGGACATGTGCAGAGTTTCCCTATCACCTCTCCCTGACCAATACAGAATAATTACTATTTGCATATCATCTACACTGTGCTCAGTATTATAATTAATCTAGAAATGACTGAAAGCCTACGGGAGAATGTGTAGCATACATGATCACCATTTCCTCTGAAGGACTGGACAAGTGCCAACTGAGGTAAGGGACAGGTGTCCTAAAACCAGTGTTTCCTGGATACCGAGAAACAACTGTGCCTCTATATTCCAAGTCCACCTTATCTTTAATTTTTATTTCCAGAACCTGACACTTGACTATCTCTCCTACCTCTCTCACCTTCACTCGCCAGCCAAAGCCTTTCCATTCTTTTTTCTCTTCCATAGTCATTCTCTGATGACATCACATCTCTGATGACATCATATCTCTGATGACATCACATCTCCGATGACATCATATCTCTGATGACTTTTTTTTTCAGTCAACAACTATGCATTATTGATCCAGAAACTCAAAAAGCGTCTCAATTTCTTTATCCACTGTTGCCCAGGACTCAGACTGAATTATTACTTATTGGCCCCGTTTATCATTATTTTATTGGTGGGAAAGGTTCTGGAATGCCTTATTGGCTGATTCTTGGGTGCAGTTTTAATTGAACTGCAGGTGATTAGCTTAGAAACCGAAATCACACAACTTTCATAACCACTGAAGCACACAGCAAATGAGTTAAACAACTTTATGTTAATTAATGTTAATTTGTTTTATTTATAAACTTGTGAATTACTTACACTTTTGTGCCTTTCTTGGAGACAGTCAAGAAAAGAAAGAACTTGACACCCTTGGGATATTTTGTTCAGTTGCCGGACATTCTAACTTAGCTATAATTCGCTGGACAAACATTTATGTGTCCGATCTATTACTGCAGGGCTTAATACTAGTTGTCTCCCCAACAGCATCATTGTTAAGCATGCACAGAACTCATGCCAGTAACTATGTGAGGTGTGAAATAACGACTGTAGCATGCCTACATTCAAGTAGTTGCTGTTTCAATGGGATGAAGGGAGTTCTGTGACCAAGGCAATTTTAAAGCACAATCGCCAGAGGAAAACATGATAATGCCCAAACTATACAGTTGTGAACAGATGGAAATACATCTGTATGGCCATGGTTGTGGGTGTCCTTGGGTTGGCCCACCGTCTGGATTCAGTCTTGCCTCCCGTCTTCACTTCAGCCAGTACAAAAAAGTTTATTCCTCCAGCTGGTGTAGAGTTCCAGCCCACAGTGGCGAGGCGATGCTCCCACCAGCAGAACGATGCCTGGCAGCTTGCTCACGGCTCAAGAACTGCCATGGAAGTATCAGCAACTGCAACAACCGTTACTGCTGCTCCCCTGAACTCACCAGAGCACGTCCAGGGCCCCACCGAGGTCGCCCCTCCACCGAGATCAGCAAGGCTGAGCAGCCCGTTCTCAAGCACCTAGGCTTGGGGGTCCTCGGCGAGGGGCCGGGAAGACAGCACGGGGCCGGAGGCCTCGAGGAGTCACCGGCAGGGAGGGGTCCGCCGCGCGCGAGGACGGGAGGCGAGGGGCGGGCGGGGCACGCGGGCGGGCGGGGCCGCGCGTGCGCAGTGGCCGCGCGGCTGGCACGCGGCGCTGCGCTCCCTGCTTAAATGAGCCGGGGCTCCCGGCGCGCGCCACTTCAAGGGAGCCCGCCGCGGGAGCGGGCGCCGCCAGCTTTCCTCGGCGCGGCGGGAGGCGGCGGCCGTCGGGGAGCAGGCTCGGCGGGCTGAGGCGCTGCGCCCGCTGCAGGGAGGCGGCGGCGTCCGGCGATGGGGACCGAGCGGAGGCATCGCGCCGGGCCGTGACCGCCGCGCCGCCGCCTCAGGCGCTCTCGGAGCGCCGACGCTGAGGACCATGGCCCTGGAGCAGCTCTGCGCGGTCCTCAAAGGTAAGCGCGGGCGCGGATGGCGCCCCCTGCGGGCCAGGCCGCGCTCCGCTCCGCCGCCGCCGCCGCCGCCTTCGCGCCCTTTGTCTGGCCCAGGCCGCCCGCCCGCCGCCGCTGCGAGCTAGCCCTAGGGGGGAGCGGAGGCCGGGGGACGCCGGCGACTGCGCTCGCGTCCCGGACCATTCCACGCCGCGCTTCGCAAAGTGTGTGAGCGAAGGCCGGCGGTCCCCGGTCGCCACCGCAGAAAGTCATTCCGCACAGACCCCAAAAGCCCCGACTCGGACGCGCAGGAGAGGCTTCCGAGAAGCCCCGCGACGCCCGCGCCTCCCGCGGGTCCCACCTGCTGCGGCCGGGAGGCTGCGACACTACTGCGGGCTCCGGCTGCGCGCGGCCGCCCTGCCGGCGACCCGCACCCCGCACCCCGTGCCGCCTTCCCGGGAGGGATCGCAGGGTCCTGCTGCCCAGTCTTGTGCGGAGGAGGAAGCCGGTCATCAGCGGCCGGCCGACCGCACAAAGCTCGGAAAGCCGCTTGGCGGCTGCCTCGTCGCCGAGGTGTTATGTCAGCTAAATATTTCTAGATCGTTTACATTGAAGGCAAAGTTTATTCTGAAACTCGTCCTGGATTGATCCTTTTATAAATCTCCGGGGAAAGCACCGCCATTCACTAACTGACTCCCTTTTCCCTTAATGATTTAATTGCAAATGGAATGTCTGACTGCTTTATTTTAAAATCTCTCTTCATATTGAGAGACACGTTAAGACAGTGACAATATGGGCATGTATAGTTTTAGCACTGAATCTGAATATTTGCACAATTACAAATGTTGGTGTTTCTCACGTCCGTGTTATCACCGTATTTTCAATTTTTGTTTTTATTAGAAAGTTCAATAGAACTTTTCGTCGTTCTTGAACTAATGACGTTTTAGACAAACTTCATAACTGGACAGATATTCATAAATTCGTAATTGACGTTACAGCCATTGAATTTAAATATTTACCTACCAAGCTATATGTATCAATACTTGTATATTCAAATTGTGCCAGAATAACCAATAACCTTCTAGCCAGTAAATATTTCGGTTATTCCATAAATTCTTAGTGATTCCATTAGTACATAAAAACAAATCCAAAATTCTGTCGTTACTTGTAACTCCTGATTGATGCAGTCATTGCCTTGGAAATGAACATTTTGTTTCACTCTTTGGTAATAAACGAACCACATGCACAGCTGGATTTCTGCTGCTTTAGGGGAATTTTCTTCATTCTAATCGTGAACCCACCATGTTAGTGTTGCAACATCATAATGACAAGTCCATTTGAGTAGCCTTCCGCGAGAAATCACTTGGATCTCCTACGCAGCTTTACCTGCAAAACTGAACGAAACTGAACTGGATTGGGCAATCTCCATGGGTACTCAAGGAATTGCAGCGTTCCTGCCTGTCTCTTTTCAGTGGGTACACACTGCCCTCTCTGGCCAACGCGGATTGTTGCGCCTATCCGGAAAAGATTCCTTCCCTGATGGCTGAGCTCCAGTGAAAACAGTGTAGTATCTGGCTTTTATTATTTTTTTCAAATATTATTCAACCTGAACTATTTTTACATGGCAGAAGTATTTTTACAGCTCTAGATAATTGTGCTGTTGTGGGCTTACTACAGAGAGTGCAAGCTATTTTTAGTTCTTCTATACTATGCCTTGTAAGCATTAGAATTTGGTTTGGAAAGACTAAAAGAAAATATGTTAACAAAATTTGAACCTGAGAAGATAATCTGGAGGCTGAAAGAAAAAGGGAGGGATTGGGCTTTACTGCACACATTGAGTCATTTGCTTTTTAAATCAAATGCATGTATTTCCTATATAAATAATACTAAAATTGTGCTTTAAGACAACTACTCTTTTCCAGTGCTACTATTTCCTTGGGTACCAAGGCATGAACAAGCACCCCTTAAGTGTCTTAGAAGTGAGTTTTATCCACAACAAGAGGTTCTTCTCTGAAGTAGCCATTTAACACTTGTATAATTAGAGATGCTACAAGATCAAATCCTTGTTTTGGGATATAATGGACAGTTTTGGGTTAAATATCAGAAACAAGTGTAAAGTTATGAGTAGGAAGTGATTTATTAAATTACAGTAATTTACTTGTGTGTGTGCACATGAGTGTGTGCGGGCATATAAGACAGCATGCACGTGGAAGTCAGAACCTGTGGGAGGTCGCTCTTGGGGACTGAACTCAGATTGTCAAGCTTTGCAGCAGCTTTACAAACAGACATCTTGCCAGCCGCTGGTTTTACTTTTTAAAGGTACCATTATTCTTTTTCTGTTTTGCAGCAGTTAGAACAAAAGAATTATTTGGCTATTTGAGCCTTCCCAATATCAGTGAAAGTGAATACTTCACTTGTGTTATTAACTCCTTCAGGTATTACAGAATTTGAGTCAACCTTCTGTCTACGGTAGCTAGGCATGATAATCCTATGAAAATCGTCTGCTGAGATTTTGAAATCCTGTTAGAGCTATTGATATTCGAAGCTCTATAATCTGAGGTTAAGTTTATGACATAATGGAGCTTAAGGACTCTTAGTCACATGCATTTAAAGGCCTGTCGGAACTGAGTATTGCCTTCTGTTCTTTCATCTTAACCCTCATCCAGGAAAGGTTCAGGGGTACTATCCCTTTAACAGCAAAGCCTCTTTTTAATACAGCCTTTTTTTAAATGTGACCACCACCTACACGCACACACACACACACACACACAGCTTGGAATAAATTGCTTAATTATCAATTGAAATTTCTTATTAAACAATGGCTTTATTATAATAAATGTTGAACTAGAAGCCAATTTACATTTTAAAACCACAGTGTTCCTTAAGGGGGGGAGAATGTGTGCATTACAAAGCAAGTTTAAATCAAAGCTGCTTTCAGTCCTTTGAGAATACGATAGGAAAATGATAGACTCCAAATTTCATACCCAGTTTTCAAACAATATTTTAAATTTTAGAGGCTCTACCTGTTCAGCATAGTCTATCTTCCTATTTATTCTTCAGAATAATTACTGATGTTTTAAATGAATTTCTGGAATTGAGTTAAAAAGGAGGCTCTTAAGAGTTGATTTACCAGGATTCCTAAGCTTTCCTTAATGGCAGGAGCCCTTCAGAGGCGTTCTCCCAACAAAACCCAGAGCAGCACTGAAGAGGAGCATTGCTGTAGTTGTGGTTCCGAAACCACCCACCTTTCAACATGTTAGCCTGTTTCTTACAAAATGACATAGTGCCATATGCTAATCAGAAAGTTAATTGTGTCCTGGTTAAGGTTGGTTGGATCACATATGCATAGAGTAATATATTAGAAATTACAACACTAGAAGATAGCAGTTACTCTTTCAGGTCTGACTTGACCACATGAAAATTTGACGACAGTTGCTATGGATGTGGAAAGTCGACTCCTTTCACCAAGGTGTAGCAGACAAACCTGCGCTCAGAGCACACACTCGCCGCATGTGTCCCTTGTGCAGGAAGGAGCAAGCATTTCTGCTGCAGTCACTTTCTTAGAAATGAGCCTGGCCGGGGGATCAGCATCTGCAGGCTGCAGTGATGTCATGTTCACCAACCGTCTTCATCCGCCACCAGTAATAGAGGAAATTTAAGTTTGGGTATTTTTGTGCTTTGGAATTCAGTTGGTCAAAAAAAAAAAAAAAGCCATTATGCTGTCGTCTCTTGTCAGATTTAACAAACCTTATATTTACTGTTTCGATGCTTACCACAGGAATACCTGGAAAGAGACATGTTTAATTGCTAGCAAAGACAAGTTGAGCCAAGTTGATAAACAAGAGTAGTGTCTGGTATCTGAATTTAAAAAAAGTTTGTTCTTTCCATATCCTCCCTGATCCTGATTTATGATCAGATAAAGAGCTAGGCTGTATATGTGCTACTTTTTAAGTGAGATGTGAGTTTGCCAGTCAGTACAGCTCTCTCAGTACTGTGTGCAGTCAGATCCCTGCTTAGTCACTTCATGCCTTCCTCTAATCTGTGTGGAGTGCTGTTACCTGCCAGGTCAGTCTAAGCAGTGAAGATTTGTCAGTGAACCAGACAAACATGGCTCTTTAGTAAGAAGAAACTAAATAAGCACACATACGCACATGACAAATACTGGATATTATAAATAATAGTGACAGTGGAGAAAGATGATAAAGAAAACAGATTGGAGAAGCATCACAAAATCAGAAAGAATGAAGGAATAAGCCCTGCAGAGACTGATTCTAGAATATAACATGGTTTAGTCCCTAAGACAAGAACTACTTGGCATTGAAGTAATGGGAGGAGGTCTGTGGACCTACAGAGAGCAATCAGAAGAAATGCTAAGGTTCCAGATCCCACTGTACCTCAAAAGAGTATGGCTGGTGGATTTATTTTACATGTAATGGGCATCTTTTGGAAGATCTAGTGAAAGGCTATGATGTGATCTAAAATATACTTCGAAAAGATAACTGGTTGCTGGCCGCACATTAGTCCACAGAGGTCTGTAGCACAACTTTTGATTTTCGCCAAATAGCCATTACTCTTCTTTATTAATTCTTTGAATTTTAGTTAAAAAGCACAGTTACAATAAAAATTGTTCCCAGTCTCTCTTGAGGTTAGGTATGGTTGCATCATTTTGTCCTATATAAATATAAAATTATATGTACATCTTAAGGAAACTGTTTTAATAAACTTGTTTTAAAATAATTTTAGATTCTGGGAAAGTTTTGTTTTAGTTTGTGTTTGTTTTAAGGAGAAAGGAATAGCCTATGCCATGTCTTCCTGCATGCAGAGTATGATACAGTCATGGTAAATATGGAAAGTTGTAATGGCTGGCAACCTAATATTCACATTGAGTCATGAGATGACTTTGGGAACAGAAAGCCTAACTGAATAATAAGACAGAACGGTCTTGGCTCTCTGATAACAATCTGCACTTTGCTTTGACTGCTTACCTCTAATTTGTCATATATCAGAAGTTTGATAGTATCCTG